GCGATGCACTTGTTACTAGTAGCGAACCTTGCTACTACTAGCTTCTTCTGCGTCCTCGCGACGCAAACATGTTTACTGTCTACTGCTAGTAATAACAAGTGCCTTACTAGTAGTAACAGGTGCCACGCTACTAGGAACAAGTGCATCGCTACTAGTAACAAGTGTCTTACTAGTAGTAACAAGAAGCTACTAGGAACAAGTGTTTAATACTAGCTGTCTTTTGCCCCCTATCGTCTAACTTCTCCGTTGAAGAAAAGGAAATGTCTTAACTTTGTGCATGTCCATCGTCGCTCAGTCTAATGCTTTTTGCTTGAACCATTTATTTGAAGAAGCATGGAGATCCTGGAAAGCAAGTGAATCACTTGACTTAGCCAGCTGGGCAAAAATAAGGGAAATACGTAAAGAAAGGAAGAAAGAAGACAAACACAGCAAAACAGAATTTGGTACTGTTTCCTTCAGCAAGGGTTCTTTTGCAGCTTGTTCCAAAGAGATGATCAAACATGTATATAGCAAGCAATGACTGTGTGTTTTTTCAACCTACTAGCGATGGCCTCCAACCTAGTAGCGTCCTTGCTCCTAGTAGCGATGCCCTTTGCTCCTACCCCCCTCCGTGCGAGCGCGCGCGCGCGCGCGGGAAAAGGTCCTAATAGCTTCTTGTTCCAATTCCAATTCTAATTTTAATCCTAATTTAAATACTAATTCTAATAGTAATACTAATCAAATTCTAATTTAAATTCTAATAATACTTAATTCTAATTCGATTTTTATTTTAGTTCGTTTTTCTCTAATAGCAAAGATGGTTCCTAGTAAGGCCAGGAGTCCCTAGTAGCGATGCCCTTTGCTCCTGAGGCATTTCAAAAGTATGATTTGGATGGAGATGGGATGATTGACTTCAAGGAGTTGGCTGCGCTAATGCGTGGCTTGGCAGGGACACCGGTGACACCATGGGAGGATCATGAAGTGAGAGCCTTGCTGAAAGCTATGGATTCCGACAATGATGGGAAGGTTCTTTTGACGGAGTTCGGCACTTGGCTTTTCGGACAACAGATGTCAAAAGACGAGGAGTCCTTGCTGAAAACGGCCGAGCTGAAGTTGACGACCCCAAAAGGAGCCAAAGAAGGAACCGGCATGAACAGCAAAGACAGTAGCAAAGCCGCAGGCAAAGCCGTCAAAGCTCACGGCAAAGCTGAAGGCTCAGGCTTAACGAAGAGCGCCAGCACGAGCAGCAAAAGGAGTGACACCAGTGCACGAGACAAACATCCTCAGGTGCTGCTCCCCAAGAGGAAGCGGTTCTTTCTTTTAAAGCCCGCTCCCCCCTTTACTCAATTAAGTAAGGAACTGAGGTAGCTATTAGCTTAAGTAGCTACTAGCCTGGACGCAGGATAGCTCACGCACTATTCATTTGGTTCCTGGATGTTAAGGGGAAACTTAACCAGACATGTTTAGATACGCTTTTGAGGAGAGAACCTAGGAATGGCCTCCAACCTAGTAGCGACGGCGTCCAACTAGGTGCATCCGCAAAAGGAAGATGTTGAAGACGGAGAAGCAGAAGCTGAAGAGGAAGATGAAGTGGAAGAGACCGGAGAAGACGACGAGGCGGAAGAGGATGAAGAGGACGAACCCGAGGAAGAGGTGGAAGAGGAGGAAGATGAAGTGGAAGATGACGAAGATGGGGCGGAAGAGGATGAAGATATTGACGTTGACGACAAGGAGTTTACAAAGCTCAGTCAAACTGGTAGAAGTGCTTTGTGGCAGAAGTTGATGCCTGCTCGAGAGGGTTCTGCACAAGATGCAGCTGTGAGGATGAAAACTTTGAAGCCACCCAATTCGAAAAGACCGGGAGATCACAAGCATGCACTGCTTTATTTGCAGAATCATGCCGGTTCCAATGTCGAACTCGTTGGCATTAAGCCTCCCGGTGCAGATCGACAGAAGGCATTGCGTTGGTTGAAGGATGCACTCCTGAGAATCAGCGAAGCTGGAGACAAGTCATACCAACTGCCAGTGAAGTGGCTGATTGGGAATTATCGCTTGTGGCCAGACGACGATGATAGTGGATTTGTAGACTTGAAGCACTTGGCGGTTGAGAAGTTGGATGCCATTGGCCAAAAATATGAGGCTCAGTATGTGGACCGAAAGCTTGGCATGGAACTAGGCTCTGTGGGGGGAGACTTAGAATTCAAGATTCGACCGCGGCAGGATCACTACCTCAAGGTGATTGGACCAGTTGCGGAGTATTTTGGATTGAACGAAATCTCCGACAAGGCCTTTCGCCGGCTCAGTCCTGAGGAAAAGGTCGATGTTGAAGCTGAGCATGAACGGAAGCAGCAAAGTTCCTTCATTATATTCCTTCTGACTGCAGTTCATGGTTTGGATCATATCTTTCAAAGTTCTGCCAAAGAGATTTGCGAAAGTGTGGGTGGTACCTCACGTGCACCTCCTCCAAAGGGCTTTATGCGAATGTGGGCCAAGCTTGACACGGACCATGCAAAGGCAGAAAGCCCGAGGGCGGCAGAGAATATCGACACCAATCGGGTTGCATGGATTTTTGAGGAGCCCTCACAACTTCGTGATGCTTTCAAGAAAGCCATGGAGGTCTTTGGAGCCCCACTTCGAGTGAAGAATGGATATGATCCAAACTTTGATGCCATGGGGGAGACGAAAGGTTATCGTAATATTTTAGCCAATTACAAGTTCAGCCCATCGCTCACCTGGGGAACTCTTGCTAAAGAGTCAACGACACAAGCTGCCTGGGACAACTTTCGGATCTTTGCTTGAATTCATATCCGGTTCGAGTGTAGGTTGGAGGCCATCGCTAGTAACTAAGTAGGTTGGAGGCAATCGCTAGTAGGTTGGAGGCTGGAGGCCATCGCTTCTAGGTCGGAGGCCATCGCCAGTAGGGTGGAGGCCATCGCCATTAGTAACTCAAAAGCAGAAAGCTCGTCTTAGATTCAGCCAAGCAGAGCTGTCAGCTGTGAAACGTGACTCAGGAAGTTGCTGCTGAGCACCTTCTTGAACATGGGTTACGCTGACGAGACTGCTTTTGATGAAGAGCTTACGTACTACATGCATTGTTGTGATGCAGCACGGGCACACTATTCCAACCTGGACAAGGAACCTGTGGAGATTGTAGTCGAGATCCAGTACATGCTCGCATCATACTTTGACATGCGGAAGTACACCCACACATGGTACAAGATTGTTAGGGCAGAAGATGCTGAAGCCTTGGTTGTTGACTACAACTCTTGAAGCTTGACTACATGTCAACCCGTCAGGCAGAGCTCACACTGAGGCTACCATCTAAAAGGGCTTTGCATCGAATCCTGTAGTGCACTGCCAAAGTTGTCCTAGCATATGCAAATTGAACAATGAAAAGAATCGACTTCTGCAATGAATCTGCTTTTCAGTCCCCCTTGTCACTTTAAGTTTCAGTTGTGTCGCTGGGCGCAGGAAGCAACCATTAGAAGTGCCTTCCAAAGGAAGTGGCCATGCAAAGCATGGCAATGCACTGCGAGTCCAATTGTTTTTCCGTCAGAGATGCAGCATACCTGACATGGCAACACGCGCCTCTTTCGAGAAAGATCTGAAGACACGTCAGCACTTTCGTGAAAGTTTCGGTTTGCCACAAGAACAGAGTGTACTTTTTTCCTTAGACCATTTCGTCTTTTTGATGTGTTTGTTTTTTAAGCAAGCAGAGTATAGTAGCAAGAAGCTACTAGGGGCTCCTGGCCTTACTACTAGGAGCAAGGACGCTACTAGGGGCTCCTGGCATCGCTACTAGGAGCAAGAAGCTACTACTTTGGTTGCTTAGCTTGTTGTCCGAAAGACCGCATAACATGGCGTCGCGGCGCACGGCATCTTTTTCAGGTCGAAAACCTGAGTTGTAATCCAGTCATGGTGAATGGCAGGTGCTGCCATTGATCACTTGACCAAATCAAGCTTGTTTTGACTGATGTGCATTTCAGCTTTGTGTTTTCCCGGCATGTTCCTTTTGATTTTGTGTTTTCCTTCTTCGTCATGTTAGTGTTTTCTGTCGGGGTGACAAGATTGGCATATTGTGGTTGTGTTCGTGTTTTGGCCCCAGGCCATTGAAGAAGAGCCAAAGAGGGAAAATCTTTCCAGGCGATTGCCTTGCATTCTTAGCGAAGAGTGGGCGTGAAAAGGACGGAAGAGTGCTGTTTCTTTGGCGCAAACAAGAAACAAAAGTTACAAAAAGAAAGAAGAAGTCTTGGAGATGGAAAAACGAGGGTGATTGATCTTTTTTCAGCGCCCGGAAGCTCGTGTGTGTGCAGGAGACCTTTTTGGAATTCAGTTTGCACATTGACAAGAATGAGCAAACACAATGCATGATGCAAATGATGCAAGCAAGAAACAACCATTGAGCCGCATGGCCAAAGGGAGGATGCGAGTGCAACCGATTCTTAAGTCAACGACGGCACACAGTTGCCTTGCTGGTCTTTGCGCTTGTTGGCCGGATTATGCTGGTGCAAGCTAGTAGGTTGGAGGCCATTCCTATTAGTGACTCAAAAGATTGTTTTGCTTTTAGTAAGGCCAGGAGCCCCTAGTAGCGTCCTTGCTCCTAATTGGTAACTCCAAGTCGGATTATGCTGTTGCCCTTTTTGGATCGAAGTCACTTAGCGACAGCACTGAAAGTGGCCAATACATAGAAGGCCAGTTGTGCGGGAGGCTCCTTGTGCTTTTTTGCTGTTTTTGGCTTCTTGTTACTACTAGTAAGGCACTTGTTACTAGAAGCGATGCACTTGTTCCTAGTAGCGTCTTTGGTTTCTGCTGTTTCTTTCCAGGTTGGAGTATGGAAGACTACTATGGCATCCTGGGAGCATCACACTGAGGACATGTCTCGACCGCAAACACCGCAAACCGAAACGAAACCGAAACTGAGGTGTCCCGGGATGCCAATGAGGCCGACATCAAAAAGGCCTATAGGAAGGACAGATGCGATGCGACGAACAAGGGCATCGCTACTACGAACGGAACAAGTAACTACTAGCGTGGCACTTGTTACTAATAGCTTCTTGTTACTACTAGTAAGGCACTTGTTACTACTAGTTAAGTGTAGTTATTTAAGTTCAATTAGCTCAGCTTACGTTGCAGTAGTCTTTGTGCAGGAAGCATTGAAATGGCATCCAGACAAGAACCCGGACAACAAGGCGCCGGCGAGCAGAGTTGAAGACCGAGGGTCTTTTCGGTGAAAAAGGTAGCCTTATTAAAGGCCTTATTAAAGGAGCCCCTGATAGCGAACATTGCTCCTAGTAGTAAGGCTAGAAGCCCCTGCCCTAACACTTGACTA